TTTTTTTTTTTTAGATTTATTTATTTGTGCATACAGAACTGGGGTACAGGCCAGAGACTCAGGGGTGGCAAAACTTCACCAGAGACAGAGTGGGAAGCAGAACAGGCAGATGGACGAAGTACACTGCTGAGGGGAACAGCAGGTGGGTCGGGAGAGGTCTGCCATACCATGTGGTCACTTCCAGCGCAGGTGGGAATCAAACTCATGCGGAATCAAACTCATGCGGAAGTGGTTTCAGCTTCTTAGTGCAGTGCTTTAACCCGCTGCGCCACCAGGGAGGGCCAGGCAAGATCTTTTCTGGCATCCTAAAGAAATGGTGTTCCGATGACTCTGAAAATGGCATTTACTATGAAAGTCAGGAGGTCTCTGTCAGGATTAGAGTGGGGAAAGAAGGAAGAGAACTCCAAAGATATTTCATTAAGGTTGCATATTTAGCCCAGCTAGTCCAAAGTCCATCCTGGGATAGGGTGGCTGGATTCTTATCAAATACCCACATGCTGACTTCTGGGTCCCACAATTTTTTTTTTTTTTTATATTGTTGAAATTGGAAACATTTAAATTAGGGGGTTTAGATATGCAAACTCAGTTCCAAAGGAGCAGTCAAGTGAGGACCCCAAAGCCTGGCCCGATGATAGCAGTTAGCAAGAAGACCAGAAAAGTAAAACAGCCCATGTGTGTTTTGGGGTAAGGAAGGGAAAGAGCTGGAAGGAAGAATTTCAGATGAAAGGGGCCAACGAAATATGCAACTCCTTGGAGCAGCGGTGTCCCGCCGGCAGAGGGCAGCAGCTGGGCGGGAGAAGCCTGGCGAGGGGCCGCGCGGCGTGGACCCGTTGGCGGGGATTCGTTTTGAGTGCGCGGTGAGCGACTCGCACGCACCACTATGGTACCCAACCCTCTGGCCACAGCACACCTCAGACCTTGTTGCGCCGAGTGGGTGGGCGGCGGGGAAGGGAGTAGCCGCGGAGCCTGGCGCTCCTGACTGGAAACAGCTTAGGAGTGCCCCGCGTCCTCGGAAGAGAAGGGGGCCGGGGTTCTGCGGGACGGGCCAAGGCCAGAGGGCAAGAGGGGGGGATCTCTGAGTCCGCACCAGCGTCGCCCGCCCCGTCCTCAGCTGCCCCCCGCCTCCGGGCGGTCGGAAACCGCCCTCTGAGCTTCTCCCGTGGGCACCGCGCGCCAGACTCTGGGCACCGCGCCAGCCCCGTTCTAGGGGCCACGACCCGTGCCCGACTTGGGCCAAGGTGCGCTGAGGCCTCGCCTGCGCCGACTCTGAGGGAGTGAGGTCGGGTCGCGTTGGCCGAGCCCCGCCCGGTGGCAGCGCAGGGCTGCGCTCCAGCCGTCGAGGACACCGGCGTGGGCTCCGGCGGGTGCCCTCTGACAGGAGGGGGCCGCCGGACGCACTTGACCGTGGGCGCCGAACGTCCCGGCCGCGCGGCGGGTTTATGTAAATCGGGGCTGCGCCCAGCGTCCTAGGTAGGATGGACCAGCCCCCCGCGCCTCGGGCCTCACGTCCAATAAGAAGAGCCCCAGCTTGACACCTGCCTATATACAGGCGAGCGCGCCCCCGGCCCGCGGACCGCGCGCACAGCCCGCACAGCCCACGCCGCGGGCGAGCGAGACCCGGCCCGCCACCATGACTTCCAGTAAGATCGAGATGCCCGGCGAGGTGAAGGCAGACCCTGCCGCCCTCATGGCGTCCCTGCACCTCTTGCCGTCGCCCACGCCCAACCTTGAAATCAAGTACACCAAGGTAAGCGCCTGCCGTCCGTTCGCGGGGACTTTCTAGAATCTTCCTTGCTGGCCAGGCTCTGTGAGGAGTGAGGGCGGCACGATGGGGGCGAGCGACTGGGTCCCGGAGCTAGTTTGTGGTCCCCGCACGGCACAGGGACGTCCCGTCCCCAGGGCTGGAACTTCTGAAATCCCGCCACGGCCCTGGGACGCCCCGGGGACTCGTCTCAACCAGAAATGCCGCGCTGAGGGTCGCCGTCAACGGCTCGTTTCCCCACACCGCGCCGCCCGCTGCCTTCTGCTCGGAGGCTCGGATCCCCGCTGCCGCCGGGAAGGCGTCGGCGCCGCTGCGCTCCTCGAACGGAGGAAAACGGTTTCCCCGCCTGCGCGGCCACGCAGCCCTGCCGTCTCTTCTGGGCGCTCCGCCTTCGGGGGCCGCTCGGCCGATGGCCCGGCTCAGGTCCGCGGGAGCCCGGACGGTGCCCGCGCCGCGCCTTCCCGTAGACCTTGTCCGGACGCGCAGCGCTGCGGCCGCGCTCACGGATTTCATGGAAACCGGGCTGCTAAGTACAGTAGCTCCAATAACAGCATTTCAATCGAATTCGGTAGGCAGTGGCAGTTTTCCTGGAAAATTTGAAAGGCCTTTAAATTTGTGCAAATTAACGGGTTCCCTTTTGAACTGAAAAAAAAAAAATACACACACACAGACGCACACACATGTATATTTATAACGAACTCTGACGTCTTGGGTTTGCCAAGCAGGATTTTTTTGGTTGATGCATGACATTAAAAAGAATAGACGTTCACTACCTAATGTAAATTGAATTTACATTCCACAAATACGAGATAGAAAAATTTCATTATTTACATATAAGGGGAATTAGCAGATTTCGGACAGAGATAGGGTTAGAGATAGAGGGGGTGTAAAATCTCGTTTATTTGCGTTCTTTTAGTTTTCGTGTTTGACTTTCTGTTCTTTTTAGTTGATTTCTATTCTAAACTTCTTCAGATTAATTTAAACACATGCGGTACACAAAATATGGTTAAAGTTGTTTTTTATTATGCTTATTATAAGATAAACCAAATTTTGTGGGGAAGTAAATTGTTGGCTTCTGACTTAGGAGAAATACAAAATACATCATCAGAGTGTTGAAATTTTAGTTGCGTTGAGTTTTAGGGTACAAATCAGGGTGATTCGTATTTTGAGTGTCTGTTTGGATGGATTGGATGTACCTGTTAGGATTTTTAGATGGTGTGACAAATTTTTGAAAGCCATTTTAATGAGAGGTCATTAATAGTTACAGCCATTTAGTCGTTATTTGCATAACAATGTACCAATGTGTGGCAGGTCTCCCGGCTTAGGAACTCATCCCCAAAACATGCAGCATACAAGTTTTGTTTTATGAAGGTCCCTAACCTCTTCACGCTCTTTTTAAAGGTGATCTTCTAGATGTCAGAGAGGCTCTAACCCTCACATTTGGGTGGATTTGATTTTCGCCTCACTTTTGTGGACTTACCTAATAACCCATGAAAGAAGTTTAGGTATGTAGTAGGTATCTCAGAATTTAATTTGGAAGCTCTTCCAGTTCTCTTTTTTTTTGTAACCCCCATTCTTTTTTTTTTTCTCTTGTTCCCCTAGTAGAAAAGACAACTGATTTATAGCTAATTGAAGCCTTTAATGTGCAGTCTTTTAGCTCAGGGGAGACTTTTATCCAGTATCCACTTTCCCACTTATTACAAAGAAAAACAATCAGAAACGAAATAATGGATTGTAACTTGATTCTTTAATTTGTGGGGAGGAGGCACCTTATTTTTGGCTTGACAAACAACCCTCATAAACACTAAGTAATACTAATCTAAAGGCAAGCTCTTTTCACAAAGCCTTGTAAAATCAGGTATCTGTGAACCGTCTCAGCAGCTTTCCTCCTCAACTCTTTAGTGAGACTTTTAAATTTTTTGAGAGAAACTCTGTGGGCAAGCAGTTTTTTGACCAGAAGCTGTTCTTTTGGTAGTTGAGACTAATGTATGACCAGTAAGAGAAATACTATTTGCAGTTTTTAGCAGCAGAAGAAACAGTCCTTTAGAGCAGTGATAGCACATTCATTAGGACATATTTAAAGGTAATAACAAAAAAAAAAAAGCATTATGTTGGAGGGGGCTTGTTAATTACCACAGGAAAGAAATGTAATTTGTGTGTCAGAAATGGTAGAAGACAAACACACATGTATCCTTACTCAATGGTTTTTGTCTTGTTAAAATAAGATAAAGTCACTACATATGTCTAATTCACCAGATTATGAGAATTTCAAGTTCCATGTACTTAGAATACTTTGCACGTGTATTTTTCTCTATTTATTTCACCACTCTCTTATTTATAACAGGGGAATATAGAAGCAATGGTCAAAAACAAGTTATTGCCGCTGTCTGTCACAAGTCCACTAAAATGCACCAACAATGTCTAATCCCCAAGGATACTGAAAGGGTGAAACTGGTGGTTTTATATTAACTTTCAGACAACTACGTTTACCTTTTAAATTTAGTCTACCTTTCTGAAACTCCAGTAAGTGGAGCTTTAAACTAATGATCCAGTGGCAGTACCATCTTTAATATATATCTACCATTTTATTTTCTAATAAAGCAAGCTAGACACCAAATTTTAAAAATGATTACTTACTAAGGAATATGGGGAGAGAGAGAGATGCATACATAGGCTGACTGTTTCTCACGAGAATGCTAACTCCAACGTGCAGCAGCAAGGGGATCAATTTGGGGCCAAGAGAATTCGTACTTTCTTGCTTGTATCCTGAGACTGGTTAACAGCTAGTATGGGAATCCGATTGCTTTTAGTTGCATTTTTAGGAATGAAATGATTGTGTAAATTGTAACTTTTTGGATTAGGTCCTCTGAGCTGTTCCTGTCAGTCAGTTTTTCACATGATTGTGTAGTTGAATACATTATAGGTGTACACATATTGTAAAACTGAAGCTAGTACTTACTGACTGCCCTTAAATACAGGAGATAGCTCTCCCATATTCCTAGATTTCAAGGTCTTTGGAAACTTACTGTCTTCACCCTACACCTACCTTCTCTACTGACTCTGTCATCTGTTCTGGGTCTACGAGTCTCTTCCTCCTGCTACACATACCACACACACACACAGTGTTATCTCTCTGTTGATCCATTTTTCAGAGAGGATTTATGCCCATACTAACAGTAACATAAAAGGTTGTGTTTTCTTCTAACATCTGATACTGTTGGGAGCTAGAAGAGAGGGAGGGAGAGGACATTTATTGAGGACTGACCTGCTAAACTAGGAGAGAAAAAATGAAGAGCAGTCAGCTGAAAATCAGAGCTCAGCTCAAGTGTGTTGACTAACTCTTATGTATTCTTTTATTCATTTAACAACTTAAGTTGAACATCTGTTATCTGGGGTCAGTTCTATTTTGGTTCAAAAGATATTTGACTGGTCTTGTTTCTGATATGCTACTTGCTTTTATGCCAGTAAAAGTGTGGAAGTGTCTGCCTCCTAGAGGATCTTAGGATTTGGTAGAACATTGAATGCCCAAAAGTGGTTGTAGTCCATCTGGTGCTCACATAATAATCAGCAAAAAATGTTCAGTTGATCGATATAATAACAGAAATTATAATAATACTTATAAATGGCTCTTATTTGATCATTGCAAAATCTTCTGAAGGGGAGAACCTGGCTAAAAGAAGTAAGAAGTAGGAATAGTTGATAAGAAAGACCTTTAGTCCTGACAAAAAAATTTATAGAACATTCCTCATCATATGCTTTGCTGCTCTGAGCAATCACAGATCTCCCCCTCCACCCCCAAAGAGAGGGAGAAATAAAAAATTTAAATCTTTACTTTTTATGTTGCCCCTATTGCAAGCATGGTGAAATTATGAACTGGTCAGCTTTTTTGCTGCTTTTGACATTTTAACTTTAAATTACTATTTGGATGTTTCATGAGGTATTTTGTTTGTTTTTTAGGTCCAGGGCTAGATTGCCCCAGAGAATGTTTCTTAAAAGATGGAACTTTTAAGATGGAATTGGTTACTTAAAAACCTCTACTCAAGATTGTCTTGATGATAAATTGTTAATCAAACTTCATGCTAATAGAAAAATTTTTTATTTTTATAAAATAAAGCTGCATACTTATACAGGTTTTTAATATTTATATAATGTTTATATATCTTCATTTAACATTTAACTGAGGAAAACTTAACAACTTCTCATCATAGGGCCTTAAATCATTCTCCTGGGGTCTTTCCCTGAAGCCTTTTAATATACTGGCTTATGTTACCTTATGGAATCATCATTTGTAGTGATCCTCCTGTCCTTTATTATTGTAAAATAAGGAGTGGTAGATTTTGTTTGTGAATAGAAGATTCACTAAGAAGCCTGATCAGTGAGGTCTAACTTCCTTGAAGCCAACCTTAAGAAAAACAGTGCATACATAGTTAGTTGTCTGTTGCATAAGAGAAACACCATGATCAAATCAGAAAACACCTCCAATACCAGTTGACAATGAAATAGAAGTACTGATCTATACCTTTGTCTTTCTCATGATCTCAGTAATAGCTTGCAGGGGCTAGCAAAATGCGGGAAGTTCTGACTGATTTTGTAAATAAAGTTTTATTGGCACACACCCACACTTCATTTAATTACATATTGTTTGTAGCTACTTTTGGACAACAATGGTAAATTCAAGTGTTTGCAGCAGAGACCATGTGCCTTTGAGAAAGAAAGGCCCTGGAGTCAAAATAGGCCTGTGTTCAAATCTTGTTTACTATGTACTTATTAGCAGTGAACATTTTATTCACCACACAGTGCCAGCTGCAATGCCAAGTTCTGAAAATGCAGTAGTAAACAAGGTATGTATGGTGACCCCTCTTGAGGAGTTTACTCATTCAGGGCCAATTTCTGTTTAGTTCACAGTGAGATAACAGTACCTGCTTCAGGGGTTGTTACAGTACTAAATATGCATGTTTGTGCAGTTAAGTGGCATGTAATAACAG